TAAAAGATTTTCATATGTAAAAAAGTAATTGTGTGAATAATGAATATTTAAAAAAAATATTAGAGAGGGTGCAACAAGATGTAGAAAGGTTTTGGCATTCTCAGGAAATTACACGCAATAGAGGTTAAAAAGCTACAGTTTTCAATTCAAATAGCAGACATGCAGTTTTATTTTCACTGCAAAAACTCGTTAAATCTATATTCTGCTTTTGGTTTTCTGTTCTGTGTTCAGTAAAAGTCAATACTGTCAAAAATGCATTTTGTTATTTATTTCTTACACATATTTAAACTTATTCAATGCCATTAAGTCATCCAACTGACAGAGCTCCTGAAAATGCAGCTGTAAATAAACCTTCACTGAATACTTTGGATCTTGAGGCAGAAATACAAAGAGAAAAAGATAAAGAACTCGATCATTTTGTTATAGCCACAGTAAATTAGTTTTATAGGCCCTTTTGTGAAACCTTGAAGTAAAGACAGTGTTGCAAAACTTGGCACTTGAACAGCTCGATTTGTTCAGCTCAATATCTTCATGTTTGATTATAACAGTTTTTTTATTTGAGCTAAAGTTATTTAGCTGTGCCAACCACCATTATATCCAAGTATCATTCTCAGAGAGTCTCATTAAAATCCATCCAATGCTTCATGAGTTATTTTGCTAAAAGATAAAGAGTGTTACTACCAAAAACCCAATACCATAACAATTTATGGTGCCTTTATATTCATGGACTATCAAATCATGTGTACTGTGGTATAATTAAAAGGAAATGGAAAAATAATAATGAAGTAAAGATACACACTGTAACCTTTGGAGTATGTGTTGTGAAGGACTCTCAGCTACAACCAAGTTTTAGCTGAACGTTTTCAAAAACTCTCAGAGTTAGAGACTTGATGTCAGCTACCTGTGGCCATAAAATTGAGTTGACTTCAATACAACAGTATAATACAAGCTGTGATTCCAGTCTCAGTAAAATCAGTTCAGTGCTTCATGTATTGTGTGTGTGTGTGTGTGTGTGTGGGGGGGGGGGGGTATGTGTGTGTTTCAAATGTATTTGTTTGATCTTTAGGTAAAATCATAAAATAAGTGTTGCAGTATGCAAAAAAAAAAAATCAGCACTTATTTTGTCTCTAGCAATAAATATTATTTGACCACACGAGCTCTGAAATTGAAAATTCAGACTGTGATTGTGTTTAAACTCTGTCAGCTTTATAAATAATAATAATATGGCACCTAAAAGATGCAACAAAATGTTCTATGTAGACACAATAAAAACCCATGAGGATGATTGTTTCTTTGTGTATTAAAGACTGCATTAGTTGTAAAGGTGTATGATTGTATTGTACAATGCTGATACATTGAAGAAAAATATTAACAGAAATAATAGAAACATCAATTCTCAGATTGTGTCTTTATGGGAAGCAACGCTCCTCCATAAACAACCATATACTTGAGCGCTACATTTGGCAAACATTTGTTATGCTGACACAGAGTTGTAAAATAACTAAGTAAAAAAAAACTTTGCACTTAAATAGAAATTTTGGTTATCTGTACTTTACTTGAGTAATTATTTTTTAGCCTACCTTTCCTACCTCTTACTCTTATTTCACTCTGGCTTGTTATTGTAAAAAAAAATAAATGAATAAAAAAAGATGAGCATGAGACAAGAGTTCAGAATGCCAGCTTTTATTTCCTGGTATTTGCATGCAGGAGTTAGACAATTAAAGTGAAACACCTGGTTTTAGACCAATACATCTCTCTCAGATAGCTTCCTCTTGCGTCCATTAACCCTGTTGGATGTGTTTGGTTCTTCTTGGTGGTATGCTGACATTACCCTGGATACCGTGGCTCTTGATACATCACAAAGACTTGCTGTTTTGGTCACAGATGCACCAGCAAGACGTGCACCAACAATTTCTCCTCTTTTGAACTCTGGTATGTCACCCATAACGTTGTGTGCATTGCAATATTTTGAGCAAAACTGCTCTTACCCTGCTAAATGAACCTTCACACTCTGCTCTTACTGGTGCAATGTGCAATTAATGAAGATTGGGCACCAGTCTGGTCCAGTTTAGCCATGAAACCTCCCACACTAAAATGACAGGTGTGACAGTTTCATTGTCTAACCCCTGTAGATGTAAATGAATGAATGAATGAATGAACGAATGAATGAATGATACTTTGTTGATCCCATGAAGGGAACTTACAGTTATGACAGATATGTTAAACAACTTAGAATATATCACCATTTGTAATATGCCACAATATTTTTAGGTAAGAAAAAGTATTGGAACAAATTATCTTAAATAACATATATTATTTGGTGGCATAATCCTTGTTTTCAATGATTGCCTCAAGCCTGCGACTTGTCAACATCACCAAACTGTTGCATCCTTCATTAGTGATGCTGTTTCAGGCTTTTACTGCAGCTTCTATCGGTTCTTATTTGTTTCGGGGGGTGGGGGGTGTCTCCCTTTCGTCCCCTCTTCAGGAGGTGAAATGCTCTATTTGGGTTAATGTCAGGATTGATCTGGCTTTCAACCTTTCACCCTTTTCCCTCTGATGAAGTCCTTAGTTTTGTTGACAGTGAACTTTGGGTAATTTTCCTGCTGCATGATAAAATTCATCCCGATTAATTTGGATGCATTTCTCTGCAAACTGGCAGACAAAATGTTTCTGTACACTTTGGAATTCATTCTGCTGCTGCCATCATTATCAGTTCCATCATCAATAAATATTAATGAGCTTGTTCCAGAAACAGCCACACATGCTCAAGCCATGCCGTTACCTGCACCATGCTTCACAGATGAGCTTGTCTGCTTTYGGATCATCAGCAGTTCCTTTCTTTCTCCACACTCTGGCCTTTCTCATCACTTTGGTAGAGATTAATCTTAATCTCATCAGTCCATAAGATYGTYTTCCAGAACTTTTGTGGCTCATCTCTGTACTTAACAAGTTTCAATCTGGCCTTTGATTCTTCTTGCTGATGAGTGGTTTTCATTTCTGTGTAAAGCCTCTAAATTTCTGCTCTCTGATTCTTCTTCCAACAGTGGATTGTGATACCTTCACCCCTGAACTGTGGAGGTCATTGATGATGTCACTTATTAATGTTTTGTTTTGTTTTTTGTTTTATGTTTTTTTTTTCACAGCTCTCACAACAATACTATCAATCAACTACTGTTGCTTTCCTTGGCCGACCTGTTGGACATGCAGTGCTCAGTACACAGTGGTTTGTCTTATTCAGGACTTTCCAAATTGTTGTGTTTGCTTTGCCCAATGTTTGTCTCAGATTGATTTTCCTTCTTTGCTCAGTTTTTCTCCCATGGACAGCTTTCTGGTCTTCATGTTGGTTTATCCTCTTTAATAAGAAATAACTACTTTATAGGTTTAAACCCAGGCCATAAAGTAGACTAGTCATGCAGAGTTATTTAATGTTGGAACAACCAACGTTAAAGGCAACACCTGGTCAATAAGGAACACCTGCCAGTTGCCTGTTCCATGCGCTAGTTTTGCTCACTTGCAAAATGGATGTGTTCAAGAGGGGGTGGGTTGGGGGGTGCTCTGAGTTGTTTAACACATCTATAGATGTAAATATTAGAAAATAAAAGCTGACATTCTGAACTTTTCTCTTATGCTCATCTTTTGATCTTAAACTCAA